GAATCAGAATTATTTTATACAGATTTATATATCTTATACTGATTTTCATACAGAGAATTCTGCAGCATCACTACCAGAATATAACCATTGGGAGGCTAATATTCAAGTCTTATTGGGGCACAAATAGCTTCATTTCAAGGATGCTAAGAAGTCATTTTACCCTTCATCTCCACTAAGCACAATCTGCCAAACACCAAGCAGAATCCTCTTCCTGGTGGCAAGGATCTTCTCGTCCCAAGCCCGATGCTGCTACTGCTGCTGATGTCACAACTACTACCCTGGTTGCTGGCAGTCACTAAGTCAATGCTAGAAGGAAAAGAAAACACAAAAGGAAAGGCAGGGCAGACCAAGGCCTCTGTGATAAGCCTGGCTAAATAAGTCCATGTTCCATGTGGGGAGAGAGGACACCAGAGGATTCTGGTCCACCATTATGCTAGGGTAGAGAGGGATTCTTCCTTCCTCCACCCCTAACAGCACTTTTTGATGATTACCTTCAAAAACCCACCAGCCAAAGGCTGCCCTTTCTACTCCTGTGTGGCACCCCATGTCACAAGTTTTTTCAAACTCAACAACCAACTAGGAGAAGATAGAGTGACTGAACCCTGCCTTATATAATAGGAAGTAGGTAAAAGATATCTAGGAATATCCAAATTTCCTTGAAAAGTCCCCAGGGGTCAGACAGACTACATGCAGATGCTCTAAAATTGTAAGGTAGGGGTGGAGTGAAGAGCAGTCCATGTACTTGACTGGAATGCCCTGATAAGACTAAGGGGTGCTATAGACATGATAAATAGTAATATCACCATTTCTTCAGCATCCCCACTCTAACTGAGGAGCACCCTTAAATGTCAAGTGTCTTCAAAGTCCTTCAGCTCCTTCCATAAAAGAGGAAACTGCTATGAAGAGAGATATATTGTTTATACCAAAGTGTGCAGCATGATTTTCCTAATTCAGATTCCAATTATTTTCCTACTTAATTCACCATTCTTCATAATTCCATGAGATAAAATCTACAGTCTTTACCATGTGCCCAGAAAAGAATGGCTAATAAAACACCTAACCTTGATATGGTGTTTTTCACTTTTCTTTTCTTTCTTTTTTTTTTCCAGGAAGTAAAGGGCTTTTATTTAAGAAGCTGGCTGTACGTAAAGGGAGGAGACATTCCACAGAAGGAGTTACTGGGAGAAGGCCATGATGCTGGAAACACTCTCAGTTGATCTTTTCCACAGTATTCTTGGGTTTAATACTCTCTTCTTGGCTGCAGATGAAGACCTGTCCTGCCTCATTGGAGCTCCAGCCGTATTTCCTCATCTACCCTTTCAGCCGGTTGTCTGACAGATCTCCCAGCATCTCGGCCAGCAGCCAGCGGTCAATATGTCGATATGTGACGCCCACAACGTGGCAGATAAACTTTTGGACGGAGTCTTCAAAGCCTGTGATTCCATTCAGGAGGAGATCCGTGTTCTCATGTAAGGCATGCCAGCAAGTTTGGAAATGACAGGTCTCCAGCAAGTCTCCCAAGCACAGGATCTGCCTGATGGGCCGCTCTTCTTGACGAGCTTGGTCAATCATGCACTTGCACAGGGTGAAGTCCTTATAGGGGAGATTGATGAGGGCCTTCAGCAGAATCTGGGCTGTCACTGTGGTCTGGAAAAAGGCCGGCTTGAACTGGTACAGCTTGAGCACAGCCAAGTCGGCTTCTAGGTCACAGGCGTTCTCCTTGGCCTGGGTCTCCACACAGCGCTCCAGGGTGGCCAGGTTCTCAGGATTGTACCTGTCGATGCCCTTGAGCAGCTTCTCCACGTTGGTGTGCACCGGCTTGAACAGCGCCATGTCTTCCTTGTTTTCACAAGCACTGTTTTTCACTTTTCAAAGGCTTGGTGCATCTAATACTTCATTGTTATTCTCAGGACAAGCTAGCAGGTACAGAAGACACGTATGTTATTGACAGATGGAAGAACTCTAATCCAGAGGTCAAATGACTTGGCCAAGGTCACAAAACTCTTTAGTAACAAGGTAAAGGCAAAGACCCAGGTGGCCCAATTCCAGCCCTGCTCTTTCTCCACCTGAAAGTAATAACAGCTTGCTTTGGTTTATAGAATGAGTTACGGCTCACAAAACTCTTTGCCTCACTCAATTCTCCCAGCAACCTGGTGAAGTAAACAGTACAGGTATTATCATTCCCTTTCTACAGGTGAGAAAACAGAGACTCAGACAAGTGAAAGGGCTTTAGCCAAACCAATAAATTAACAGAGCCAGTCTCTTGGATCCAGTCGGTTTCTTTACAGCAATAACATATGTATATTTATATATTATAGGGTTTAGATAGAAATATATGTGTGTACTTAAATTCTTTCCTCACATAGATGTGTATTAACACCTACATACACATTGTCTCTGTCTACAAGCACATATGTGTTTGTATAAGCCTATGTACACAGCCATATATATATATATATATATATATATATATATATATAATATGCTAGGTACATATGTATGTATATATGTATATATACACTGGCATATATGTATAGATGTGTATACATACATAAACATGCCTATGTATATGCATGGGTGTATATGTATACATGTATAGGTATCTATGTATACATTCACATATACATATGCATAGGTATATATAAATGTATTTATACATGGGTATATATGCAAAGGTATCTATGTATACATTCACAGATACATATGTACAGGTTATAAATACATATTTATACATAGGTATACATGCATAGATGTATGGTATATATCATATACATGTATATGTGTGTGGTTACATGTATAGAGATCTGTGTATAAATGTGTGCACATATACACCTATGCATATACACACATGTGTATAGAAGCCTACTAAATGTATATATACATATATGGAAATATTCCTTTGCACATATACATATATACCATATACCTATGCATGTATATAAATGTACAGGTAGGTATATATGTAACAGCATAGATACCTATTCATATATGCATACCCCCTATGCATTTTCATAGGCATATATACCTATGTGCATAATCAGACAGTTGTCACTTTATTTGCATTACACAAATTTGACTTTACATAAAGAATTCTGAAAGAAATCCACATTCCAAAAAATACTTATGTTAACTTTACTGACAGTACTGTGCTCTCTTTCAGCTCCTGCTGCTTGGTGGTACTCTGACTTTCTCCAGCAAAATCCTCCATGCCCCTCCCCACCCCACCCCATCCCACCCTCATCCCACCCCCATCCCTCTAAGTGCAAACAGAAACGACTGGAGGAACTGAGACCTTTGGGTACAGAGAGAAACCTTTGCCTGCCCCTCCCCAACCTCCCCCTACTGTCTGTATATATATACCTATATATATATATACATATACATATATATCCATACATACATACATATACCTGTATGTATGCTTATCTATGTATATATACATATAACTTTGTTGTTGTTCAGTCCTTTGTGTCTGACTCATTTTAGGTTTTCTTGGCAGAGATACTGGAGTGGTTTGCCATTTCTTTCTCCAGATCATTTTACAGATGAGGAAACTGAGTTAAACAGGGTTAAGTAACTTGCCCAGGGTCACACAGCTAGGAAGTGTCTGGGGACAGATTTGAACTTACAAAGATAAGTCTTCCTGACTCCAGGCCGGCACTCTATTTACTTAGGCACCTAGCTGCCCCATATATAACTAAACATATACATAGATCTATATGTGTATACATACCTATGCTTATATATGCATGCACCTGTGCATATACATATGCCATACATATATGTACATACCTATATGCATATACTATATGCGGATATGCCTATCTATATATTTATATATACATATATCTAGGCATATACATATAAACCTATGCCAATATACCCACATATGCAATATACTTCTGTATATACAAACACGCGTGTATACCACACATGTATATATATGTACGTTCAAACAATGCAATGCGTATATACACACATATATATACAAAACATGTATATACACATGTGTGTCCATATATTACACATGTATGTGTTATACAGTGTACATAAAGATACATCTATGTGAAGAAAACATTAAATATACATCACTATCGGAATCATTATATACACTTACATATACACATACATACATGCATATTTCCTCATAGGAGCCCCGTGAAGTATTAGAAATATTATGGCCACTTTGTCTATGAGGCACTGGAGGTTCAGACTGGTGAAGACTTGCTCCAGGGTCCCATAACCTAGGTGCCAGGGGTGCTTTTCAAGCTGGCTCCATGTTGCTAAAAGCAGCCATTTGGAGGTTGGGCCTTTTAAATGAGTTTCCTCCTGAATTTCGCTCTCCACCCCCTGAAGAGAGCTGACATCAGCGTGCTCCTGCCGGTGCACTCCTTTGTTTATTTACCATAGTTATCTTTCGGACCCTGTTTTCTTTTGGGGAGTAGGGGTGGGCCTCCCTAAAGGAAGGAAGTGTGCTGCACCAGCCAGTGCTTTCCTCTAGGAGGAGCCGAGTCGTCCAGATGAAAGTGACACGCACCAACTCCAACTCCTCGCAGGCAAAGGCAGCAATCTGAGCTCCCAGGAATTCGCTCCCGGGCGGCTCTCGCCTCCTCCCCAGCCGGTCTCCCACCAGCTGCCCCCACTCCTCCTTTGGCTGGAGCTCTCCCTCCCCTCCCGTCCCGAGCCTAGACCCCGGAGCGTGCTGCTCTCTCCCGGTTTCAACGCGATCCTCGGCCCGCCCCCCCCCTCCCCTCACCCCAGCAAAAAAGCTGCCTCTCCCTTTCCCTGGTTCCCACCCCTCCCGCGTCCTCCCCTCCCCTTCACCCCGCCCCCTCTCCACCCCTCCTCTCCCGAAGCCTGACAGCCCGAGAGCTGCCAAGCGGGGCGCAGCCATGGGAAGGGGAGGAGGTAGAGGCGGCGGCGGCGGCGGCGGCGGCGGCTGCTGCAGCAGCAGCGGTGGCAGCTGTGGCTGCTGCTGAGCGCCCCGGCAGCGGGGACCCCCCTGGGGCGCCCGGGCGCAACCCGCCGCTGCGAGGAGAGAGACCCTCGGCTTGCTGTGCTACGAGGCTCCGCTCCAAGGTAGTGGCCGTGGTGGTGGGCAGATCCGCGGGCGAGGGGTCGCTTCCCAACTCTGGGCTGCAACTCGGCGTTGGGGCCGGGCGGGGGGAGGGTTATTTGGGGTGCTGGAGGTTTAGGATTTATCCGCAAATACATTGGAGAGCACCGAAGGTTTGCGTTTCCTACCGAAGAAGTTGTTTTCCGCTGGTAGGTTGTTGTAATCTGATCCATACCATGGACGTGTGTGTGCGTGCGTGTGTTTCTGTCTGTCTGTCTTCGCTGGATTTTTTTTTTCTTTTAGGGGAGAGAGTTGGGGGAGTGAGGATAATAGGACTAAACTTGTTTATGTGCAGGAGGGGGGTGTCTTATTGAGGGGGGCGTGTGTATGGAAGGACTTATTTTGGAAACAGTTTGTGGGTGTCTTAAAAGTTTCCTCTGTGTGAGTCTTTCTCTCTCTCTCTCTCTCTCTCTCTCTCTCTCTCTCTCTCTCTCTCTTCCTTCCTCCCTCCCTCCTCTCTCTCTCTTTCTCTGTGTATTTGTGTTTGACATCTTCAGCCTACTCGAGAGCAGGAGCTCCAGCTGGAGCTATGTGTCCAGAGAGGTGACTGCATAGTTGGAGAGGATAAGGGAACAATGGGGCTCCTTCTCCAGCCTTTCCTAATGTGCCCAGCCTTTCTTCTATCCCTGATGCAACTGTTATGTTTTTTGTTGTTGTTGAGCTTTTTAGCCCTTTGGGAGACTCTGGATAAGTAAACTCGGTTTGTCTGTATGGGATTGGCTTGGAAATTGGGGCTGCAGCAGCTTTCTCACTAGTGGCCCCTCACTAATGTGCGGTTTAGAAACGACCGCAAAGTTTTGACAGCCTGCGCTAACAGAGGCGGTCGGGAGTGCCAGCGGGTGCCTGGTCTAAGGGACTCCCGGCTGCTCAGTGGCTAGGGCTTTGGAGGAAGGCAGAGGGCGTGGGGCGCGTTGTCTGGGTGGGAGACCCTCCTTGTATACACCACATTGAAAACTGATGTTAGAACACTGGCTGCCTGGGTTTGTTTTGGTGGTGGTGGTGGCGGTGGCGGTGGTGGTGGCGGTGGTGGTGGCGGTGGTGGCGGTGGTGGTGGCTGCGGCGGCGGTTTTGTGTGCTTGCACGGCTGTACGTGCTATGTATGTGTGTCGGTGTACAGGAGAGCAAGCACAGCGTGTAGGAGTGTCCCTTAGCTAGGAGAGAGTACTGTGGGGGTAGGCGGAGGCCCTGGGAGGTGGTGGTGGCGGTGGTGGTGGGAGGGTTGTTTATGTCTCCACGGTGGACGGGACTGGGGAAAGGTAACGGGAGGCGGGAGGGTGGGGGAAACTGGAGAAGTTCCCTTAGGGGTGAACTCACTAGTCTTTTAAAAAGGGAGCTCCGCTGCGGGCGAGGGGCTGTATGCTATTCCGAATTTGCAAGCAGTCCCTTGCAGTAAGAAGTACCCCCTTTTTCCCTGAAAAGAACTCTGCAGAAAGACGGGCACAGCCCCAAGCTTGAGACGTGGTGCCCTGCGGTGAATCTCCGAAATGGAAGGCACCCCGGGTCTGCAGTATCATCCATTCGCTAGGGGGGTTTGTTTGCCTTCAAAACTTCAGCCTGATTGAAGAGATACTAGGGCACACCACCCTGAGATCGTAGGCACTGCCTGGGCTCTCCTGTTGTAGGAAACTGCTTTTCTCCCCCAGAAGCGTTTGCAGGGGATCCCTCATGTTTCATGTCCCTGAGATCTTAATATAGAGTCTCATAGAAAGAAAACTCGTGGAAAAAAAAATCTACTGAAATAAAAGGATTGGGCAAGATACTGGTCTGTACTTCATTCATTTGCTTTTTGGATGAGTGAGGGATGGTGTGTTTGCTCTCTGGGGGGAAAACGACTTGAGAACCCCGGGGAGACCAACATGTCTCTAGTTATATATTTGTCATGGAAGATTTGCTTTAGCCTAAAAGTCTGTGAGGCATACTGTAATTTGTAGCCAAGAAGTTTTCTCCTCCTACTGCCAACTTGAAAAAAAAAATTGCCTAACATTACTGCTTAGGAGAATAGGTGACTCAATGTTCAGCCTTTCTTCGGAGTAAATATATACATCGAAATTATTCTATCATTGGTCTCCTGAAGTGTTCTAAAAGCAAACATTGTATTGAGGAGGATGGGAGATGAGACACTATAAACACAAGGACAGCACACATGCATTTTTTTTTAAGTGAGCATAACTCTGACGTGCAAATATTTGTCTCCGAGTTCGGGATTGTATTTTTTTTTATTACAAAAAAAAAAAGAATCCACAGCATAAACCACTTAAAACTGATATTTGCTGTAGCCTATCTCAGTCATATCTCTGGTGCCTGGTGAACAGATGTTTACTGTACTCAGTAACCTATTGGACTGTCATGTTGAGTATCTTGTTAGCTCAGGACATAATGTTTATAGCATAATGTAATAAATGGAGCCACAGTTGCAGTTGGCCTGTGCCAAGCTCAGGAAGCGCCCCAGCATGGAAACAATTCCTGAAGTTGGTCCAGCTCGGCAAGCCTTGCTGGCTATCTGCCGGTTAGCATTGCTAATGTAAAGATAAATCTGAAAGATATAATGAGAATGCAGGGCAGCAAGATGTTTAGTTTAAAAAAAAATAGACTCTTTCAGTGAAAACTTCACCAACCACCCCACTGATCTTTACATATTTATTGCTACACTGTGGAATGATTAAGTGTTTTTTTTCTTCTTCTTGATTTCACTTATTTTCCTCATTTAAGTTTTTTCCTCATAATAGACTTTTAGGGGGGGGTTTTGTTTGGTTGGTATTTTGGGGTTTTTTTTGGTGAGGCAGTTGGGGGTTAGTGACTTACCCAAGGTCACACAGCTAGTAAGTGTCAAGTATCTGAGGCTGGATTTGAACTCAGGTCCTCCTGACTCCAAGGCCAGCGCTTGCTTTATCCACTGTGCCACCTAATTGCCCCCAGACTTTTAGTTTTTAAACAATAATTGCTAAAATTATATAGCATTTTAAAAATATAATCTCACAACAACCCTGGGAAGTAGGTACTATTCCTATTATCCTCATGTAATAGTTAAAGAAACTAAGGCAGAGGTTATGTGACTTATCTAAGGTCACACAGCTAGTAAGAGTTTGAGGTCAAATTTGAATTCAGATCTTTCTGACTCCAGGTCCAGCATTCTATCCACTGTACCACCTAGCTGCCTCTAGGCAGATTTAAATTAAAATCTGCAAGGACATAATTTCTTTAATACCGATTAATTTCTAAATTGTGTATTCATGGAGTTTTCACAGTGTTAAAGGTCCTCTTCTAACTTTTTAATGGTATGAATTGAAGTTTACAAATACTCAAACCTACACCAGATTAATTATGTAAACAAGGGGATAGATCCATGTGTCTCTTTGGCATTTTTTCCACCAGGATCATACAAGAGTTGGGGTGTGTCTGTGTGTGCGTGTGCATGTGTGTGTGCATGTGTGTGTGTATGTGTACGTGTGTGTATGTGTGTGTGTAGAGGAGTTCCAATACAATGGATGCTTGCTTGAATTCTACATCAACTTGATTCTTACCCCTTATTTATTTTTCTTTATGATCATAAGATGCTTATAACAAACTTCAAAACACTTCTGCAATACCTAGAACACTTCTGTGAATGTGCAGGTAAAATTACTTTTACTTATAGCCCATATCTTCTTCATTTCCTTTTGTCAAGGAAGATTAACTTTAAAAGATAGCATTTGTATGACACACCAAAGGTCAGGAAAACTAAAGCTGAATGTTCAAAACAAGTAGGAAATTTGAAACAGTCCCTCCATATAATTTAATTAAAAGCTCTACTTTTGGTTTGCTGAACTTAAATCCTCAGAATCAATCAGTAGGTGGGCAAAGAATGCCTTCTGTGTTTGTTCTGGAGACAGCCCATGTTCTGGCTCCAGTGGAGGTAAAAGGTGTTTGAAAAGAAATGCTTCCTGATTTAAAGAGGACCCAAACTATATGTATGGGACATGACTGGTTAACAACTCATTTTGCTTGTGAAGAGAAGGGGATAGGCAATACAAATATAAAAGAAGTCTGATATGCTCATTCCTGATGAACCAAAGTGGGCTGCTGCCTTCTACAGAAGCTGAAATTTCACACCCCATATGATAATAGTGAAATTTGACAGCAAAGCCTTTCTTATTCTCTACTTATCTAAGTTTTCCTCAGCTAGAATGAGAGGTAGTGAGGTATAGTAGAAAGAACATTGTTTGGAGAGACAAAATGCCAGGGTCTGCTTCCCAGTTCTTCTACTTTACTAATTTTTCTGCTTTACTGTGTGTCCCTGAGCAAGCCTCTGAGACCCAGTTTCCTCATCTGTAAAATGGGAATAAAAATACTTGTTCAATCTATCACACAGAATTGTTGTTTGCAAAGTGCTTTGCAAAGATTCAAGTTCTTTATAAATGTGAGTTATGTTGAGTTAAATTCTACTCTGATGCTTCATCCTGAATGTAAATGTGAACCTGAGACCTTATACTAGTCTGGAGTTGGTCCTGACTTCTCAAGGGCTATGCCTGTGACAGCAAGCTCTGGCAGGCCCTACTAAGCTGAAAGGTTGAGTGTGGGGCCAACAACAGAACAGGTCCAGTAATAGACTACACACCTTGCTGTCCATGTGGCTAAGTTGGGAGAGACTCATCACAAAATGGTTTGATCACCCAGGTGCTAAAGTTATTTGGTCACAGGAACTAACAAAGACCCTCTCCCTAAACTTAGGTTTGTTCTCTTTCTAGGTCATATGAATATTGTTTCTAAGGTCTATCCATTTTTTCAAGGCCAACCTCAAGTCCTATCTTCTTCTTGGAAACACTGACCTCTTGAGTGACCAATGGGAGTGATCTGATCATCCCCGATCATTTCCTCTTTTGAAGTCCTATGATAATCATCTATACCAGTGGTATCAAATTAAATAGAACTGAAAGCTACCAAGCCATACATAAGGATTCCTGTGGGTTTTATATTGACTTAGAAA